TTACTTACTGTATTGGAATTGGAGTGTAAAGATTCTTCGTCTGTTAGATCTTCAGAATAGTAATTGTTTGTTTCTCTTGCTAGTGTGGTGAATCAATGGTGATTATCTCTGTATTTTGGTGATTATCTCTGTATTTTGATGATTATCTCTGTATTATCTCTGATCATCTCTGTATTTTGAAGTTGGTGGAAGGACGAATGACAATGGCGGCTAAGCAGAGATTTGTAGTGTTTGCAATTTTCCTCTTTCAAGCTGTTGCCCTCACTGACATTGAGGAAGGTATATATTTGGTTACTTTATTGGTTGATTTGAGCATTCATTGTTATTTATGTGATTGTGATTGTGATTGTGATTTTGCAGTAGAAGCACTGAGAAATTTTTACAGATCCCTAAACTGCCCTACACAACTTAACAATTGGAAATTAGAGGGAGGTGATCCTTGTGACGAATTATGGACTGGGGTTTCATGCCATCAATCATCAGTCATTGACATGTACAAATCTTCTTCTTCTTCTTCTTTTTTGCCTATGCCCACGCCCTTGTGGTTCACCGATTTTTATTTTCCTGCAGTAAACTTCAAGGATTAAGTCTCACTGGTAATCTTCAAGGAGATCAACTTGTTCGTCTACAACACTTGAAGCATTTGTAGGTTATTTCATTTTACTGTATCTGATCTCCAAGGATTCATTAGTTAGTTATCTCATCTGTTTTTTCTTTTATGTAGAGATCTTAGTTCCAATCATTTCCATGGAGAGATACCGAATAGCTTACCCACTAATCTCACAGATTTGTAAGATGAATTTCATCTTTCTCAATTCCTTCTTTTAGCTCTACATTCTCAATATATCTTCTTCCCTTCTTGTTTTGGTGGATATAGAAATTTGGCGGCCAATTATTTTAGTCAAACCATTCCACATACTGTGACTTCAATGAAACATCTCAGGCACCTGTAAGCATATTCTCTGTTCAGCTTCTTTACATCTCTCCTATTTGATCCTCAACTCCTAACATTTGTTATTTTTTATGCAGAAATCTGAGTCAGAACCTTCTATCTGGACCACTACCAGATGTGTTTGGTGGCTTTGACAACCTTATAATGATGTATGATATATTTCTTTGTTTTTTTTTTAAATTTTGGATGCAAATTTTGACCTTACTTATATCTAGTGAATCTTTGTCTTTGGAGTAAAATTTGTTCACAAAAAAAATCTGAAATTAGCTAAATGCTAGTATAATTTTCTTCAACAGGGACCTGTCACACAACAACTTTAGCGGAGATCTACCTGTATCATTTCGAACTCTGATGAACCTTACAAGATTGTAAGTTTTTCACATCTGACAATATGCCTCCAGTTGCAAATTTCATTAGTAATGAATGAGGTATTGTGGCGCAGGCATCTTCAGAGCAATGAATTTACTGGATCAGTAATTTTTCTGGCTGACATTCATCTACATGAACTGTGAGTTAGTAATCTGTTTAGTGAGTCTATCAAAGCTTAAACTGTCACTCTCAAATTTATTATATATGTGTCAATTCCAGGAACATTGAAGATAATCATTTTAGTGGTGTTATTCCTGAGAGCTTTCAAAATATTAACAGCTTATGGTAAACAGCTTTCAAAATTCAAAGTCTACTTGGTATATTATGCTTTACCTCCTAATTGGCATTTGGATAGCTTATGTCTTTCCTAATAATCAGGATTGGAGGTAATCAGTTTCGCATAGGAGTAAACTATCCTCCCTGGAAGTTTCCTACTGATGTTATGCCCAATGAGCAGAATATCTCTAGTCCTCCAACAACAGAATCTAGTGCCATTGAGAAATATCCTTCTCATGAATCAGGATATAACAGAAAGAAAAGACCAGGCTCTGGAGGAATAGTTATTATGGTGGTTGGAGCTGTAATGACTGTAATTGGCGCAGCAGTCTTCATTGCTGTTCGGACTCATCGGTCTACAAAACAGACACTTGACAGCATAGGAGGCAGCTTAAGTTCATTGCAGTCTCTTCCAATTAGTGCATCCCAAGGTCAGATATAATTCTTCAGAAACACTTCATATACCATTTTCCCTCAACTTGTATGTGCAAAGCTTTCGCTAAAATGGTTTCAAGCTGATAATTTCGTAGTGCACTTCTCAATTGTCTGTTCCTAGCAGATAGAGAAATACTAGACCAAACCTAGGCTCAATCTTCTCCCTTCTTGTTCTTCTGGGTTGGTTTTCCAGTAACATATCATTCATGAAAGTTTTGTTGATACAGCCTATTCCTATGAAATGGACAAATATAATGTGGTTGTGTTATCCTTTCCCTGCCTAAAACTATCAACTCTGCATGTTTCTTGTAGTAATAATTCATCCAGCATTAACATTTCCCCTCTGCATCTTGTGTGTGTGCTTCTATCAAAGTTGAGGTTTATGAGATTGTATTATGATGAAGCACGATCTGGATAATGCCTAATGCACATAAAATCTGTTTTCCAGTGAAATAGCTTCTGTGAAAATGAGCCACATTTTTCAAAGAGTTCTTCTCTGGTTTGGTTTTTCATTTTACTCATCATCTCAGGTTCTTTAGTTGCTGAATACGATAGGCCAGATTCATCTAGCAGTGACTCTCCTCCACTGATTTCTTCATGGGAATTGCCACCTGCACCAACCATGACTATTAAAATGTCGAACAGAAGAAGTTTCTCCAAGAAGTGCAAAATCCCAATATGTGCCAAACTCTATGCAGTGGCAGATTTGCAGTTGGCCACTAGCAACTTCAGTCCCAATAATCTTCTTGGTGAAGGAACACTTGGTTCGGTTTATAGAGCAGATTTCCCTGATGGACAGGTATCCTAGGAGCTTTATTTAAGAACTTCTCGCATTCAACAAAGAGAAATTTACAAAGTTTTCTTACTCTTCTTACTTCTTTTGTGCAAGGTTCTGGCTGTTAAGAACATTAAGACTGTAGCACTCTCCATAACTGAAGAAGAGCAATTTATGGAAGTGATTCGAACTGTATCTCATCTGAGGCACCCTAATATTGTTGCACTTGTTGGCTATTCTGTGGGGAATGGAAACCATCTCCTTTTGTATGAGTACATAAGGAAAGTGACACTTGATGATGCTTTGCACAATGTTTTGTGCATGCCTCTGACTTGGAGCCTCCGACTCCGCATTGCCATTGGCGTTTCTCGGGCATTGAAGTAAGTACACAATACTTGTTTTGCTTATCCTTTCAACCTTCTATTTATCTGGCCGGACACCTTAAATAGGTTTTGCACCATGGCTCACTTTCTTGTAATTATGACTGCAAATACTGTATGTAAGTTGGATGAGGATAATATTTTACTTACCTCTCGTGTTTCTTAATGGTATTTATGGATTTAATCTTCCCACTTATATTGCAGCTACTTGCACACGTCCTGTGTGCCTTCCATCACCCATAGCAATATAAAGGCTACCAACATCTTGCTTGATGAAGATCTTAACCCTCGTCTCTGTGATTGTGGACTAGCTGTCCTAAAACCACTTGCCAGCAACAATGTTAAAATCAAGGTACATTTTGTTTTCTTATAACCTTTATTTACTTATAACTGCTAAGGGAAATGGTAAGTAAACTAGAAACAGCACAAGTTTTCCCGATACTCACAACCAATTACTGTCATTGTTAATGTTGCAAGACAGGCTTCTGAGATTGCTATTGCAGATAGTGGCTATGTTGCGCCTGAGCATGTCAAACGTGGAAGTGGCAACCCAAAGGCTGATATCTTTTCCTTTGGTGTGCTGCTTCTTGAGCTTTTAACTGGAAGGCGGCCTTTTGACAGGTTTGACTTTTTTCTCAACTTGTTCAAAACCATAATCTTGTTGCTGATGTTTCCTTTTCCTTATTAATCTTGATGCAGTTCAAGACCAAAAGGAGAGCAATCACTGGTGGAGTGGGCTTCTTCCAAGCTTCATGACAGTGAGTCTTTGTTGGAGATGGTTGATTCAACAATAAAGAGAATAATTTCCACTCGGGCTCTTTCATCTTACGCTGACATTATCTCTCAATGCATTCAGGTAATTCAATATGTTACAAAGTTATTTTACCGTTTATACGTAATAACTATTAATTTCTAAAAGCTTTTTAAGATAAAGGTTTCACCTGACAATCACTCTAAAATTTTGTTTATGCTACTGAAAAAAATGAGCAGCCCCAGAAGGAATTCCGTCCTCAAATGGCTGAAGTTGTTCAGTCACTGGTGTCACTGTTACAGAAGTCTGGACAAGAAAAAGCAAAGTCTGGAAAAGATAAAGAGACAGCACATGGCGCTGAAGTTGACCCCTGTGACCGATCTTTTCGTTCAACCAACAGCCATTTCTTTGCTTCACCGACTGCAAGCTACTTATCCATCTGACCTTCTGCAGTGAGTTGAATATATGCTCCACCTTGTACAGTTTTTTTCATACTAGGATTTCTTCACAACCATTTCAGTTCTTTTACATAACGATAAAGTTGCAACGCACGGACTTTAATGTGCACACATTGATTCTTCGGGAGAGTACTTCCCTCTTGTCTTGCTTTTCCCAGCTTCTAAGATTGTTAAAGACTTGCTTCTTTTGAAAGAAAACCAAAGAGTTGGTATAAGGTCTCTCCCTACCGTATATAGCTAACTTGATGTTCATCTTTCTGCAATGGGATTGAATAGCAGTTGAAGTGGTACAATCTGAACATTTAACTTCACACCATGGAATCAGATTCTTGAAGGGTTTGGTCTAGTGATAAGCGTGCAACTCATGATGCAAAAAATACGAGTTAAAATATACATTATCCACTGAAAATGTGTCAACTAGCCCTCAAAATTTCTAGGTTATCAAGAAAAATAAAGTAGTTATCTCATCTCCTTGGTGCCTTCACAGAACCACCACGCAATCTACTTTGCACCATTGAAGAACATCTCAAACGAGCCTTTGACAAAGCTGAACTAGTCTCAATTGTTAGGATAAACATTCTGCGTTTATGAAATTGGTATTCCATGGGAGCACAAAGCATTGATTTTTTATTTGTCTATTAGAGCACAAAGCAAGATAAATGTATTCTAATTATGTTTTTGCCAACATCAGGTTCAACTGTGTATTTCCAACTTGTACAGTATCAATAATAACAAAAACTACAAGATGTATAAGAGTTGCTCAAGCCTCTTCTAACACTAGCTACTAATCAACAATGTATTAATCTCTCCTATGATATTCACCGGCCGTCCATCAAACATGGATGAAAGTGTACTCTCACAAAGTTTCTTCAGTTCCCTGGTCTGGGCAAGAGCTGCTTCCTGCATAAGGAGACAAAAAAAGAAAAAGCAAATAAAAAATTAAGGATCCAAGGGGGACTTCCTTTTCATTTTTACAACAAAGGCATTCTACAAGTGAACAGCCGTAAGCAATGCTTTCAAGATCTCTACATGAGCAGCAAAAAATAACTTAGAAAAAGTATATCCCTTCCTGTAGTGAAGACTGAGGAGCAAGCAAGGGACTTCTGCTACGCTGTACTTAGCTACTATCTTATTTTCGGAGAAATGAATAAATATTACACAGGCTATTTCAAAGGCAGTCACACTGTTTGTCGAAGAGCATTCAAAACAGGTGCCTTTTTATGGGAGAGATAGGTATTCGGTAAAAAAAAAACCCAAAAAAACTGGAAAACAAACAAATATATTTATTATAAACTTACAGCATTGTGAAGTTCAGAAGATCTAATAGGAGTTACTGTCCTCGACAATATAGGAACGGCAAAGGTTGAAGTTTTAAAAGCACTCTATGTAAAGGTTCCATAGTTTACTTGGCCACTTCTCAGAGATCGGTAACATTTCAAAATCCGAGAAATAATCTTTATAAAATTATGAGAAGCTATAATACTTTAAGCTCAAAGTAGTCAATCTTACTACTACTCAACGACTAACACGGTTTTCACATACATGCAACTACTGCAAATTACATTAAACAAAATTGGAAGGAAAATAAAATAAGAAACTCACTTGTTTTGGCCAGGATGAAGACATCGAATTCTGAAGTTCCATACGCCTACTAGACAAGTCCTTCAATCCGTCCTTTAACTTGGCTTCCTGACGCTTTTTCTCCTCCAAAGTGTTGACCAGCCGATCTAAAAATCTGGAATTTAAATAAATACAGCAGTCAGCATGCAACTTCCAACAAATATAGTTAAGTCTGCAATACATGAACTTCGTAGAATAACTATCTAAATAATAGTGTACAGCAATATTTCATAATGGTGACAAAAGAAGTGAGCTATTACACTATCAGATGTCAAATGGCACACTTTTTGATGCAAGCCGAGTTTCATCAAAACCTTACACAAGAAGCCGGGCTAAAGAGTTTGTAGACTTGTCATTGAATCGCTACCTTGGAGGCTTGATTGAGGGTTCTTGGAACAAAGGCATGAAGCTCGAGAACGTGCTAAACTGGTAGTACAAGGATCCATGTGAAAGACTACTCAAAGTAGGGAGAAAGAGGCTATGAATGTGAAAATGGTTATTCTAGAAATGCAAGCCTCTTGACTAAGAAGACCCTTATTTCATTAAGGGTATTTATGTAATAGCTAGCTTAGACTATAAATAATGGAGAATAGCTCCTTTAGACTTAGATTGTTTTGATATGATGAATTATTATGAATTGAGTGCAACTCTAGAGAGTGTTTGAGGCTAAGGCCATAGTTGTTACGAAATGTTGATGGGATTGCTTGCTTTTGAGGAACAATCCTCTTGAGGGTGTCTCTATAGATTAGGTGCTTGTTTGAATTCTTAATTGGAGGTTTTAGCTTTAATATAGCTATTGTTGCCAATTAGTTTCTTGCTTGTACATCTTCTATCTTTACTTCCTTGTTCTTAGATTTTAGGGTTTCTTTTTTTTTTCGCAGCTCAATATTGTATCAATTGATAACAAGAGCTTGGATTAGATTTGTTTCTACAAATCTAGTCTTGGGAGTTCGATATTTACTAAAGATAGAGAGGAGTAAGGAGTGAATGGTAGCAACTCTAGATTGGAAAAGGGAGAGGATGTGAGGAGTGGAGTGAGTGAGTTGCCACAAACACCATCTAACCTAATTGCTTGTCCTTCCCTTTGTAAGAATTCTAGCGTAGGTATGAGCATGGAGAATGGGGGAATACAAACTCCCAACAAGAAGCCTACAATTAAGGATTTCATGGATTTGGTGGTCCATTGGATCAAGCGGTTTGACTTGCATGAAAACATGAGAGTGGAAGCTTCGCTTCAAGGTAAAGAACATCCTCCTTGTGATCCTCAAGATACCATAGCTAAACTTGACACTTTAAAATTTCTAATGAACTAAGTGTGAGTGAAAGCTTATCTTCGTTTGAGCCCAATGATTCTTTGCCACATAGTAATAATGTACTTGTTGAAAGTGTTCATACACTAGTTGGTCCTATTGATGACCAAATTGATTCTTCTTGCAAGATCGATTTGTGTCCACCTAGGGTTGACACTTGTACTTTGAATGATAATACATTTTGTCATGTGATTCTTTACCAAATAGTAATAATATCGTTGTTGAAAGTGTTCATACACTAGTTGATCCTATTGATGACCTAATTGATTCTTCATGTAAGATCAATTTGTGTCCACCTAGTGTTGACACTTGTGATTTGATTGATAGAAAATTGTCATGTAAACTTTGTGTTGATCAACTTGTTTGGGATTCTAGTTCACTAATTGAGAGATTTTGTGATTTGATTGGTGAGCCTCAAGTTAGTCATGACATTGAAAAAGTTGGTCATTTGAAAGGGAGTGATTCTTCGAGCATATCTCTTGTTGAAGATCCTATTGCTTGTCTTGCTCATAAAAATCATGTGATTGAAACCTCCTTGAAAGATGACATTCGTCTTTCTTAGAATGAGATTACATACTTTAATTCTCCACCTTTGATTGATTATTCTCTTTAAGTACAATGCTTGTTTGATGATGATGAGATCACTCCTAGTGTAGTGTCTGGTGGTGTGAATTGTGATGCTGATGTAGCTCATGTAGTTCTTATTGGGGGCTATACCTTATATGATAACCCACCAGGGGATGTTGAAAAAAGAAGGTGCTTCTCGCTTTCAAATTGATATTTATTCTTTGGATTGTCCTACTTTTTGAAACTGGTAACGACTATATATATATATATATCAAAAGTTGCACCATGACAGTGCAAAAAGACTTTACAACCCAACCAAGCTTAGGCTACTGCTTCACAAGAATCATATCATATCAACTAGTGATTCAGCCTCCTTAGCATAGCTTTCTTTACACTAAAAATAAAACATAAGTATACAGTTCATCTTGATTTTCTCCACAAAATTGTATTTTTCTTTCAAAAGCTCTATAGTTCCTCTCCTTCTAAATGGTCTAACCATATGCAAGCAGGGACAAGTTTCCACTAATTTTTCAGACTAACTGCCCCATCATTCTGGTTCCAACATTTCAGTAAATCAGCACTCGTTGCTGGCATTGATCATCTGATTCCTACCATGTTCAAGAATAGTTGCCATAATTGTCCAGTAACAAGACAATGAATGAATAGGTGACTATTATTTTCCCTAGCAGCTCCGCACAAAAAGCATCTAGAACACAGTTGGAATCCCCTTCTTTGAAGTTTATCCTGTGTGAGGCAAGCATTTCTTGCTACTAGCCAAGAAAAACATACCACCTTAAAAGGAGCCTTCATCTTCCAAATGGATCTCCATGGCCACTGATTAGTTGACTGTCTGTGCCTAATCAGAATGTTATAAGCTGAGTTTACAGAATAAGTTCCTTTTCCAGCTCCCAATCATGCAGTAGCGTTCTAAAAGTAATATTCCATCCGTGTACTCCTTTTAGAACCTCAATATATTCCAATGTGGTCTATATATGAGATACAACATATGAATCAGTATAATTGCTGGCGCCCTTACACTAGTTAATGGCTATTTGAGTTGAACTTTCTCATATTTTGTTTTGCACGGAAGTATCTTACCACATCAAATGGTTAGTAATTTTTTTTGAAACTGGTAACTATATATATATATATATTAAATTACACCATAACAGTGCAAAAGACTTATCAAAATCTCAACCAAGCTTAGGCTACTGCTTCACAAGGATCATATCATATCAATTAGTGATTCAGCCTCCTAAGCATAGCTTTCTTTACACCAAAAATAAAACAAAGATATAGAATTCATCGTGATTTTCTCCACAAAATTATATCTGTCTTCAAAAGTCTATAGTTCCTCTCCTTCCAAATGGTCCACCATATGCAAGCATGGACAAGTTTCCACCAATTTTTCTGACTAACTGTCCCATCATTCTGGTTCCAACATTTCAGCAAATCAACACTTGTTGCTGGCAGTGACCATCTCATTCCTACCATGTTCAAGAATAGTTGCCATAATTGTCCAGTAACAGGACAATGAATGAATAGATGACTATTATTTTCCCAGCAGCTCCACACAAAAAACATCTAGAACACAGTTGGAATCCCCTTATTTGAAGTTTATCATGTGTGAGACAAGCATTTCTTGCTACTAGCCAAGAAAAGGATACCTCCTTAAAAGGAGCCTTCATCTTCCAAATAAATCTCCATGGCAACTGATTAGTTGACTGTCTGTGCCTAATCAGAATGTTATAAGCTGAGTTTACAGAATAAGTTCCTTTACTAGTGGGCTTCCATATAAGTTGAATCTTCAGTGTCTTTGAACCCTTGGAATGATTCCAAGGTCTTGAAAAATTCAACAACTCTTTCCAACTCTCAATCATGCAGTAGCCTTCTAAAAGTAATATTCCATCCATGTACTCCTTTTGCTGATTCCAGACTAATGTCTGGCATAGTGGCAATGCTAACGAATACAGGGAAGAGTTCCTTTAGAGGTCCATGCCCAAGCCAATAGTAATCTTACAAGTGAGGACAGCATGAATGAAGTTATTTTGTGTGACACATTTCTTTATTATCTATTTGCATATGATGATGCTCTTACTTGTGTTGAGTGTGTCTCTTATGTCTATGAGATCTAACGGGGTAGATGATTGTTGTCTTGACCATGATATGTGGAGGTCCTTTCGTTATGACCCCGGTGAGAATTCAAATTATTGTGATGTGATCAGTGTCACTTTGTAAGTGGTTTTATCTTGAAATAGAGGATCAACTATGCTTTATGTCTCTTAGAACCAATGTGCTATTGCCTACTTGGTATTTTGACACCATTGGGATTTTCAGGAAGTTCTCATTTCATGATGGTGGGATAAGCTAAGTACTTTGCACTTCATGTGGGGATTTGTTTTTCACGAGTATAGTTGATGTTTGGTTATACCACAAGTGTGTACATTTTGGCATAGATGGTGGATTTGTTAGCACTTGTGCTAACCCTCATGCTATGAAGTCCTTGTTTTTGTTTGTCTTCCCTATGGTTTTGCTAGGTTTCAAGGAAGGGAGAATGATGCAAGCCAAGTATCAAAACCTTACACAAGAAGTCGGGCTAAAGAGTTTGTAAACTTGTCATTGAATCGCAACCTTGGAGGGTTCTTGGAACAAAGGCATGAAGCTTGAGAATGTGCTAAAGTGGAAGTACAAGGATCCATGTGGAAGACTACTCAAAGTAGGGAGAAAGAGACTATGAATGCAAAAATGGCTATTCTTGAAATGCAAGCCTCTTGACTAAGAAGACTCTTAGGAGCCGTTTGGTAGGATGTATTAATTAAAATAGTCCTTCTATTAAAATTTAGTCCACCCAATACAATGTTGGTTGCACAATTAACTCAAAACACACCTAATACATGGATAACTTAATACACCATATGTGGTCTTATCTAATACCAAGTATATCTAGGGATTTGCTAATACCAAGTTTATAATACTTGGATAAGACAACAAAATGACTGAACTTCCCCTCAACTTCTTTATATAGTCTTTTTTAACATTTCTTGTTGTCTTTATGAACCTGCAAGTTCTTTAGTGTTATTTTATTTTAATGTTACTAGGTAAGAAGATTCTATGAGAAAGCTATGTTGCTCGGACTCTTCAATAATGTCAAGGGGAGCGTGTCGGATTCGTCAAAAGTAGTGTATTTTTGGAGAATCCAACATGGGTGCAGCATTGAAAGTGAAGAGTCCGAGCAACTTAGTGAGAAAGCAAAGGAGATCTTATTTTGGCTACTGTTTTTACTTGTTTTGGTGAGAGAGAAGGGAGGTAAGCCTTGGTCATGGGTACTTAAAATAACTTCTTGTTGTTTTTGACTTGAGACTTCCTTCCGTGAATTAAATTTGTTAACCACTTTGTTTCAAGTTTTAAACTATAATAAATATGGTCTTGATAACATTCTTATTTCATAAAATAATATTGTCCGACAGTTATCTATCCTGACCCAATTACATGAAATAGAAAATCTCATAATAATTCAAGGGTATAATTGTATTGAAGCTTTTTTAGAGTTTTAAACTAAACACAAGATTAGCCTATTAGGTGGGAAGCAATGAACCAAACACTTGATAAAAATAACCCCTGCATTATTAATCCCTGCATTACTAATCTTTGTACCAAATGACCCCTTACTTCATTAAGGGTATTTATGTAATAGCTAGCTTAGACTATAAATAATGGAGAATAGCTCCTTTAGACTTAGAGATTATTTTGATATGATGAAGTCTCATGAATTGAGGCAACTCTTGAGAGAGTTTGAGGCTAAGGCCATAGTTGTTAGGAAATGTTGACGGGATTGCTTGCTTGAGGATCAATCCTCTCAAGGGTGTCACTATTATAGATTAGGTGCTTATTTGAATTCTTAATTGGAGATTTTAGCTTTAATATGGCTATTGTTGCCAATTAGCTTCTTGCTTGTATCTATCTTCTATCTTTACTTCCTTGTTCTTAGATTTTAGGGTTTCTTTTGTTTTTCCGCAATTCAATATTGTATCACTCTTCATCAGCGAATAGATTACTAAACCTATCTACAGTTTAAAGACAAGGATAGATTGGGGGCTACCAAATATATTTCACATCCATAGATATAGATAAGGGAAATATATCATTCATAATAGGTTTAATGTGTTGCTTTAATACATGATGTTTGGTAGAACTTTCCTTTATAAAGAAGTAGAACCACTTTGGAACAAAGGAAGTATACAGTGGAAATGTCCTCATCAAGGTTTGCACTTGGGTCAATAAAGAGCACATGTGGCATGCAGATTAAAGAACTTAGCATGTCAAAAACAATTTGAAAAAGGAAGAAAATTTAAGCTTGCTCAAGAAACAAAATTCATGGAATCCATAACTTATAAGTACCTTACGGAGTTGAGGATCATGATCATATCCCTTGTTTTCCTATTTGTAAGCAATGAAATTGCTGAGGAAACGTCAGATAGCAGTGTCTGAATTATATCAGAAGAGTACTGCTGCAGAACAAGTGGAGCAACTGCCTGGACTTGATGTTGTAAAGACGTAGTATCTTCGTTCCTTAGCTCAATTAACCGTTGATTCAAGAAGGCTTTCACCTGATGCTCAAGCATCAAACAGAAGTTCAGATGTCAGAAACCATCAAACCCGCCAGGCCAGATGACTCAACAGAAGACATTGGAAGTCCAAATGGCCGATAATGTAATAAAGCCGCCTAAGTAGTAGACCCTATTTCCAGAGCAAAAGGTGGCAAACTACTGCCAAACAAAGTAAAAAACATCTAAAAGACACTAGTCATGAAAAAAAGGATGATACCATTCATACAGACCTCAAATAAGTCATCAAGTATCTTATTCCTGTATTCTGTCTCCAGTAGAGGACTCCTGTCATGGATAGCTACTGGGTCGGCAGTTAAATTATTTTGAAGAGAGTGCAATTCCGCAGCATTATTTTGTGAGCTGTCTTTATCAATCACATCAACTTGAGGATTGTCAACACTTATATCCCAAGATATTTCTGATGCAGAGACCTCAGGAGCTAGGAATCCTTCTTCCATTGAGATCTGATGAGATTTTACATCATCTTTACGAGGAGATGACATAATATCGCTAGCATTAACAATCTCATAGGGACCCAAACCATTTCCATTTTCTTCTGTTTCTTCCACGGTGCCAATGTCCCAATCAATTTGAGAGCTATCTAAAGTAATATCCCAGTCAATCCCATCAGCTACGATGTCAGTTTCTACAGTTATTTGACTTAAGCCATTATAGCCTGCTTGAGCATTCATAACTTCCAGAACTTCAGTGCTAACAGAGACATCAATCGCTGGGGGCCTTTCACGAGCACTTCTCAGATTTGATAACACAACTGCTACTGTTTTCTGCAACCAGAACAAATAACTTTAGTAAAACATTCTACATAAAACTTTGATGTTGCACTAACAATGGATTAAGGGAAGTTCATCGCATACATCCTTTTCTGTATGAGCATCTTTGACGAAATCTGAGTAGAACTCAATAGCCCGTGAGACAGAATCACCAGTAAGTACTTCCAAGATTCTGCTAAATGTACTTGGAAGAGATATAGTGGAAGTTTCCAAAAGTTCTGACCTCACATTTATTCCCTGAATAGAAGAGAAAAGTCAATATATTATAAATGGAAAGAAAAATGAAGAAAAGGCTATATGAAAAGAATCGAGTTAAGCAAACTAAAACCTGCAGGCCCAACTCTTGACAAGCCTCTACATATTTAGATGCCGAAAGAGCTGCATTTCTTTTTATATCTGCTTCCTTGCGCTCCAACTCAGCTAGTTGCTGCTGTGTTTTCTGAATCTGCTTCTTATGATAGGGGCTACAAAACAATTATACTGCTATTATACATCTTGACAGAAAATTACTACAGTCCAATCATAACTCAATTGTTTTTGCATAGAGTGATAAAGTTAGTTAATTTACATCTCATAGTTAACATTTTGAACCATAATCTGAGCGGCTTCACCAAGAAAAATGTATTCCTTCTCATAGGCACGCACTATTGCTTCCCAAACACCCTGTCAAGGGTCGAAATATAACCTTTATTGGAAACAAACACACATACATATTGAGAGAGAGAGACAGACAGAGGAAGTTGGTCTTACAGCATCACCTGAAAGCCGACCAAAAATATTACGGCTTTCTTGAGTTGACTTCAGAAGAATCTCATATATTTTTTTGGCTTCCAAATAACCGATCCCTGAAAATTAATATTTAATCAGTAGACATTTTACACTCTGCAAAAGATAGTGTAGAAAAGATCCTCTTCAGAACCACAGAGAATTGATGCAACAAAACTGTCACTCGATGGTACGCCAGTAGATGAAATTTCCACCAATTTCTGTTTTTATTTTCTGACAAGTAAAATTTCAATCAAATGATAGCAATTAGGCCTATGAAGGGGGGCATATAAAAGGTCAGAAAGCGAACAACAAACATATTTAAAATCCTTCAAATGTCATCCTCCTCCTGGTTTTAGTAACACAAAAAAACAAAATAGGTTCTTAAAAAACCAGAAGATGTATGCCTATCCAAAACTGTAACATTTTTCAGTTCTTAACAAAATAATTTTGTTCAAAGAGAATACAGTTACATTTCCATATATATATTCAGGTTCTCAAAGAACTAAGATTGCCTGTTTTCGTTGATGTTATAGAATAGATCGAACAAACAAATTATGGGCTTATGTCACTTCAAGTTCTAGAGTTGTTCAGGTAGTTTACAGATGAGTTTGGAAGTAGACTAATTATAGAAAATTAACACAATTGATACTATTTAAGACAGCCGCAACATGATAATGAGCACAGATGTAGGACTTAAAAGCATAATTTTACAAGCCTGAATTTGATTGCATAAAAACAAACTAATGATACTATTTAAGATAGCCGCAACATCGACATGATGATGAGCATATATGTGTAGGGCTTAAAAGCATAATTTTACAAGCCCTGAATTTGATTGCATAAAAACAAAGGAAAAGAAGTAAACCTTCAATATCAAGAGTGTGGAAGTAAGGATCAATGTCTTTAGGCAGCGAAGCAAACGACGTCGTAATCTTAGCTCTAACGGCAGCAAGTCGTTTCCGCCAATCGGCCGAAATTCTCTTCCGATCAATCAGCCACTCTTCATGAGAAAAATGGATTTACAGAAAATATAATAAAAAAATTTAGACTGAAAAAACGCAACTTTATCCAAAGTGTTTATTTGTTGATATTTACCTCCGAGGCGAGCGAATGCTATGTCGATTGGAAGATTGCGAATATCTTCTTCCTTCTGCATTTCGCCCAAAAATATTCACCGGAGCTTCCCAAACAAATCGGCCGATATGCTAACGTGCGCGATGGAGTTGTCAACTCTCACCCAAAGTGAGATAATGGGTTGGATAATAATCATGGGCCTAAACAAAGCCCAACAGATAAAGGTCTTTTTGGGCCTTGCAGACACATTTTGGAAAAATGGTTTCTTGAATATGTAACTTTTAATAAATAATTACTGATTTTAGTAATATTTTTTATTTTTTATCATTTATAGCAATAGGGAAAAGACATAAATTCACCCTTCAACTTCTCAGTTACACGCTTAAACCATCATGCCGACCTATTACACACCTTTACTGTTTAAAAATTATTATTTTTACCCCCTAAAATTAACGTGGCAAAAAATAAGAAAAGAAAAGTGTGTTTGATAGTAAATAAAGTAAAAATAAATAAATAAAAATCTTCTTTCTATTACCACCCTACCCCCACCCTCCACCCCCCACTCCACGCCTCTTCTTCTTCACACACAATTGTCTTCTTCTTCTTCTTTATTTTTTTAAAATTATTTTTCCACCCAATTTTCATCCACCTCACTATACCTCCACGAAAATCTTCTCCCCCTACCCCTCATCATATCCTATTTTAATGTTTATTCGATTTCACAATTTTCATTATATTTGATTTTTCTCTTCGGCTTTGTTGGTGGTTGATAAAATTGATGATTAAGTTTAAAAAACTAAAATATAATGATGGATTTGTTGGTGAGGGGTGGCAAAAAAGTGGGAATTGAAGGTGGTGGAGAAGAAACAATCAATATTAACAATGATGGTAGTGATATTTGGTGGTGGGTTTGTACGTTTTGATGGTGATGATGTAATTTTGGTGATGATTTTGTTTATGGGTGTCAAATTTTGTGGTGGATCTTTATAACTTTTGTGGGGATAATGGTGATAGTATGATTTCGATGGTGGATTTCATCGTAGGTGGTGAAATTTGTGGTGATTATTTTGATTTTCATGGTGACATATATTGATTTGGTAGTAATATGGTGGCAATGGTAGTGGTTTTATGGTGGTGTTCATTGAAGAAACAACAATTGAATGACATGGAGAATTTTAGTCAAAATTTGACATGGCATTTGATTTGGCAATGACATGGCATTGATGTGGCGCAAGTGTGATACACCTCTCATTGTGAGAGTGGTGCTACACGTCTCATTGTGAGAGTGGTGCTGCACATCTCAGGAGTACACAAATTCACCATTTAGTAGCAGAGGTGTGTAATAGGTCACCATATTAGTTTAAGCGTGTAACTGACTTTTTGAGAAAAGTTCGGGAGTGAATTTATGCCTTTTTCCTATAGCAATATTATGATAAATCTGTAATATGTATTAAAAGTGAATTATGTATGCAATATATATGTATTATAATTGTTTTAAAATATATTATGCTTGTTTGGTAAAAAATTGACACATTGTATTATAAGTGTATAAAAAATGTGTGTAAATGTATTATCCATCAATAAACTTGTATTATCCATCAATAAATTGACACATTGTATTATACACGTATTAAAAGTGATCAAGTGAAAAAAATGTTATTGCTATAAATGGTAAAAATATTTTCTTAATATAGTATATTTATGTAAGTTTCCCTATTTTACAATGTTGATTTAAGATATGAGAAAATTTCATAGATAGTTGAGAGATCAAATTTAATAACTTTCCTTAGCTATGGTTTGTCTAATTATGCTTCATATTCAGTGGCGGATCTAGAATTTAAAGGTTGTGGGTGCTCATTTCCTTTAACATAAAATAGCTTGCAATCACACAATATAAATATATAGCTACTCGAATCTGTCAATAAAAAAGTACTCCCTCTGTCCCATTTTTTGTGAGGTAGTTTGACTCGGCACAAAGTTTAAGAAAGGAAGGAAGACTTTTAAAACTTGTAGTCCAAAATGAATGATAGAAATTTGTGTGACTGTAAATCATTTCATTAAGGGTAAAATAGACATTTTATAGTTAAATTGTTACTTAGCATAAAAATGTGTCATTCTTTTTGGGACTGACTAAAAAAGAAAGCAAGTCACATAAATTGGGACAGAGGGAGTAAATGATAAAACAATGATGAATATTATCGTCACAAAAAATAACTTATAATCACAGGTCACAATGACGTAGTAGTAATATTACTATTATAAAAAGTAACTTCTAGTCTTAAAGTCATAATTGTGCTCGACGACTTTTCATATGTTGAAAACGATGAATAATAATATCATTGCTAATGATTGTGAATATCTTACGCTCAACATAACAACCTAAACAACCATTCAAAAATTCATCACCTATACTATTACGAGTTCATTTTTGATGTACTTCATGGATGAAAAAGTTTGTTCCACAGAAGCAGAAACAACAGGAAAAATGAGAGTCAACTTGATAAGAAAATAAACAAGTGGCCAAGTTTGATGCAGATTTAACTTCACCAATACTTTAGCAAGGTCACTCAGTCCCTTCGAGTTGAAGAACATCTTGTCAGAACCACGAGCATAAACTATAAAACTATCAAGCTAACAACTGAGATCTCGAAGCTTATTGCTATCAAACTCATTCATATAATACTCAGTCCCTTTATCCAACTTTTATCAAAACCACCCATGAATCAACTAGATTCAAGCTAGCCATACCAAGAAGTAGGTCATTACTCACAACATCAAAATGATTATTAAGCTCTTGAAGATGCAAATTAATAACAACATAAAAAATTTCAACGCGCAAATAATGAGAATATACATCAAGAGATTTATGCTTGGACTTTCCTGGGAAGTAACCACCATTCAACTCCAGAATTATTATACCATCATGATTATCACAAAAAGATGATACATCACCCATTAATGAATCAAAATCATTATTTCTCATATTTTGTAATCGTTGCTTTGTAAGAGCAAGAAATCTCATAACATTGACAATATCTTGATCCATCTTTCATAATGAAGAGCTCAAATTAGTTGTCATCATTAGAACTTTCCACATCAACTGCAACATAAAAGAAAAATCAAATTTATTAATCATACTCACAAGACTTTTAGCAATAAGTCTGTCAGTATAATTTGAACACTCACGTCCGGTAAATTCAAATACATGAATAACTGATGAAGATAGAACAATAAGGTTATCCAATGTTCTATAATGAGAACCCAATGAGTATCACTTGGACGTTAAAGCCCACTTTCTCGATTTAATCCTCGGTTATAGTATGCACTTCACTTGATATGAGCAATTCTTCTAACTTTTCAGCTTGATGTTTTCGAAGTAAATTTCTGCACTTAAAAGATGCTCTAACAATATTTAGCACATTAGTAACTAAAACAAAATCCATTTACATTTGAATCCTTCTTTGCAAGAGCTACAAGTGTTAACTGTAATTGGTGGTCAAAACAATGAATGCAATATGCCGATGAAGTCTCATTCAAAATCAAAGTCTTAAGGCCATTTAGTTCCCTCTGCATGTTGCTAGCTCCATCATAACTTTGTCCACAAATTTGGGAAGAACTTAATGAGTGATCTGAAAGAAAATGGTAGATTGCCTCCTTTAATAAACGAGCATATGTATCACTAACATGTATAATGCCAACAAATCACTTTATTACTTCGCCTTCTTTGTTAACATATCTCAGAACATGTGTCATTTGTTCCTTATGTGATATATCCTTCGATTCATCAACTAATTTTCTAAAATAATCTCCATCTAAGTCTTCAATGATAGCTTTGATTGTTTCTTTAGCACAAGAATGAACAATTTTCATTTGAATACTTAGGCAACACATCATTTCATTTTTAGGGGCATTTTCTTAAATAATGCTTCCCACATCTTGATCAATATCTCCATACCATTGAAAAGTTTAAGAAAGATACCTCTATTTCAAGAAGATCGATTTTCATCATGCCGACAAAATGATAACTCTAGTCTCGAGAAAAATTGTCACGACCCGAGTCTATACCCTGGACGTGGCCGGCACTTAAGAACCATTTCTGGTCCCCAAGTGAACCCTCATCCTGACTGACTACAAGCGGAAGACTAACTTAAGCATGCAAAAGCTTAAAAACTGAATTCAATTCAAATACTAAACTTTAAAATAATCTAAACAATACTGAATAGATAACTTTGAATAAAATAGTATATTCAACTCGCCATAAATAGGCAACTTATGTCTTCAAAACATTTAACAAAATAAATGAACAGACTTCGAAAACTCTACTATCTATCTATAAAGCCTCTAACTGACAAAGATGGAAGTCGGGACAAGACCCACGACATCCTAACAACTAATATAACTGAAAGTATAAGTGGAACCCTCCGAAAGTAAGGAGGCTCACCATAGCTAACTCGAACTGCCTGTGGTATCAACGAAGCGCTTGTTGATGATCCTAAGTACCTGTGATTAACGTTACAAGGACATTTCATCCAATTCTAAGTGTCAATGATCGCTAGTCAGTATAATAACCCAACTAAATGAGTTGGGGTCGAATACCACAATGAGTGGTAAGTGTTTAAGATTCAATAGGAAAGTACAAATATGCTCAAATCAGCCATAAGAATAGACATTTACGAATAAAACATAATTCAAATTAAGGGGTGACAAGAATGTCAAATAACAGGGGGTTTTGGTTTAATTATCAACTATAACAACAACAAATAATACGGAATAATAATAATGAGACGGGTTCTTGGGATGTGATTCGATTATAGGCTAATGTAGACAAATGGGTAATTGCAACTGTTAGGAAATATCTGTAAATTAGTGAATAACCTAGACTATAGAGGGGGTAAACTTTCTCTCGAACAATTTACCCCGAATCAAGTCAATTTCTCTCGAACATCGACAAACATATAAAATAAGAACAACCTACGCTTTAGTCCATTCACTCTCTCGAGCTGAATGTGTGGAAAATGGTTTAGGATTCACTCTCTCGAGCTGAACCCATGACAACCCAATACCCACAGACCATCAATCAATAATCTTGGTTTCAAAATCTCTCTCTCGAGCAGGCCAAAAACATAAAGGTAGAACTGCATCTACAACTACAATTCTTTAATTTAA